GGTGTCAAGGAAAAGTTTCTGCAGGAGGAGGCAGCAGCCCGTCCAGGAAAGGGCCCCAGAATGGCTCGGACATTCATGCCAGCCAAACAGGCCTCTACATCTAGTCTTCACAGTGGGGAAAGGATTCCTCAGCACGCGCCATTGTTGAGATTATCAAATGCACATCAGTGAAAGTCCACAGCAAGGATAAAGGGACTGCACAGCAACAGAAACCTGACCACACGGGCAGAAGCACAAGAATCCCAAACACCCACCCCAGCGACCTGGGCGCCCTTCCCAAGGAGGGTGGGGTAGGGGAAGAACAGTGGCCTTCAGGCCTTGCTGACCTGTGTGCTAACAAATTATCAGAGCTCAGCACCCGCCTCCCTTGCTTCCTCTTTCCACATAGGCAACCCCAACTCTGATGTTGTGAGGTGCTGTCTGGAGCATAAAGCATACCTGTTAGAGCTCCAGTCTGCTGGCGCTCTCTGAAGTGGCATGCGTGCGACACAACCTGCTGAGGTGTGGGAGGAAATAGTAGGACTTCTACTTATGCCAGTCTTACTCTCTTTCCCGTGTAGGCCTTCCAGTGGACTTAGCAGTACACATACATTGACTCAGCTGGAGTGCTTGGTCAAAACATCATATACATGCAGACATGGTGATCTGCCAGCAGCTGTGGGCTACCTGTTCACCACCACACCAAGCAGCACCCGGGACCTAGCAGGCACCCAAAGATTGCTTGTATTAATGGGGTGATTAATTCCACTTGACCTACCATGGACCAAAGCATCCAGACAGCATTCACCCTGACTTCCAGCTCCCAAGCTGACACACACCTTGCCTGCCCTGCAGCAGGACCAGACTAAACTCCATTCCTGCCTCCCTCCCTCGTGGGCAGTGGGTGGGAGGGCCTAGCTCTAGGACTGGGCAGCGGAAAAAGGTGCAAATGCCACTTCAAACTCCCCTCTGCCCAGCTCCCAGGTACCCCTTCCCTGTCCCTCTCCCAGAACAGAGGCTGAGTGGGCCAGACCTCCTAGATTCCCTCTCCACCACCGCCCATCCTCCCACAGTTCCTTAGCCATTTCCCAAGGGTGTTGTGTACCACTGTAAACAGGAAACAAGCGTTGCTTTTAAAGAAAGGGGGGAAGAGCTCCTTTTGAGGCTCCTTTCCCCTGGGTTTACTTAGACCCTGTAGGGCAGATTATTTAAGGTCTATTTTGTTTATCTGTGGTGTCAGATTTCGGGAGAGGTATATATGACCTTTTCTCTTTGCACTTTAGTTTTTCCTTTTTCTTTGCAGTTTTTGGCCAGGGCCAGGCTTGAACGCACCACCCCCCGGTATATGGGGCTGGCACCCTACTCCTTTGAGCCACAGGTGCCGCCCTGCACATCAGCTTTCATTAGTGTTTGTAAATTTAATGTGTGGCCCAAAACAACTCTTATTCTTCTAGTGTGTGGTAGATGAGAAAAAAGGTGGACACCCCTTGTTCTAGGGACGCACTTAGGACGATGGATGTATGAGTATCCTGG